GGCAGCATCCACCGCCCCTGGTGCCCCCCCTCAGGTGCTTCGCGCTCGGCTTAAGCTTAATTGCCATCAAATGCGCTTTTAAAGACTTTACGAAGGTTATTGGTTCTCCAATGCTCTCGAATTCTCTCAAATGCTCTCAATTGCTCTCGACAGGCTTCGAGGGCACTGCTCCCGCATTCCATTTCATGTTGTAGGGGGTTGGGTAACCCAAATCCCATCCCAAATCCTGAAGCCTATGTATTACTATAGATCCCGATTCACCCCTCTAACCCACAGCCATAATCCTGTATGATGTAGTGAAGAGGCTTGTTTCAAGTTTGTGGATTCCTAGCGAGCATATACCTACAATGTCCCTATACATCCCTATAGCCCCCTAAGCTCCAAATCCTGAACCCCTAAACCCATTGGGGCCCTTATCATGGGAACTACCCGTAAGAACAGTATACAAGCATTCTTGAAGTGTGTGTGGAAGGTCGCAGGGCCAACTTTAGGGCTTGCTGGCGTTGCTCAGCTCCGTTGGTGCTGGTACTTGGGAGGGTCATGGGGATGTAAGTAGGGGTTCTGAGCATGATTTAGGAGTAAGGGTTTAGGGTTTAGGGTCAGGGGGACTTAGTCGGTAGGGGTAGTAGGTTAATCAGAAAGGGGATAATTGGGGTTATTATAGGCCTCATGGGGGGTTATTAACCTACGTACTAGGTCCCCATGACGCTCCAGGTACGGTGGAGAAATTATGCACCATGTAGGAGCCACCAGAATACTTGCTAGTCTTCTGGGTAGAAAAGGTGGCGCCAGATTTCCTCCAGCCACGGTCGATCTTTCAGAGGCCGCTTGTACTCTCTTCTAATTGGTTTCTGTGGTCTTATAAGTAGACACTTTATACAGAAATTGAGTTTGTTTTTGAGTGGCTCGTGTTTCAAAGACGGCAGCAGCAAAGAAACTGCTGCTTGTGGTGTTCGCGGGCTGAGTTCCAACGGTGGCGAGCTACTGCCCCAACAGAATATTTTGGGCTGCAAGTTGGGCTGTAGGTGTTTGGAATAAATTTGAGTGCTGACTTTGGCTCGTTGAAGTGATGATTTGTGGATGAAAAACTTTCTTGATGCAGCTTTCTACGGGGTGTTTGCTGTCATTAGCTTTAGTAAACCTGCTCAAAGTGTGACACCATCTTACAAAAATGTTACCAAGCACTGTACAACACCTTTCACAATGCACAAAAATCATTCGCTCCCAGGTTGCATTAGCTGGCTTTGGGATCGTCGTCTCCCAGGCAGGATGAGCCATGCGTGGGAATGTGTGGTGGTTAGTAGAGTCCTGGTTTACTGGGTTTAGGGTTTAGGCTTTAGGATAAGGAAACCCTATTATTTACAACATGCCCATATAATGGTAGCTTACTTTAGTTAAGCTCCTTAACAGCAACCCAGTTCAGGCCCCGTAGAGTTCCTCCTTAGGCCCCCGAAATAGGGTGCCGACTGAACAGTACTACTACACGGGTTTCCCAACCAAATCCTTGGATGCAGTGGTAATAATGCTGAATGACCGAGATCCCAGAGGCTCTAAGGGGCGTGCTGTCTTGCTCTGCCTAGGATTGCAGCACATCAACAGCGGGAAACATTCATATTTGGCTTCCCCACCAATGAAAAACGATGCAAAACTGCAATCTTGAAGCCTGTGCCGGTGCTCAGCCCCTCATAAAATCACGCATAGAAAAACGATGAAGACCTTGCAGATAAGTCCCTGCTCAGTTGGGCTTTTGCGTGGCTTACGTTGACATCATCATCACCACCCTTCGCGAACCGAACCTCCTTGCAGACAGGACCGACGTCTTCTCTGGACAGTTGGAAAATAATTCCTCCACAGCACACTCTGGCTTAGGCCCCACCAACTAATGGGTGTTTATTAGGAATATATGCCTAATACATTTGCCAAATTCACTTGTGGTCACTACTAATGGGTGGGGCCCCAACCTTAAACACACCCGGAAAGCACGTCAGGAATCCCCCCAGTAGATTCTGGAGGGATTTGCACCTTTGTGCATCAATATTTTTCATACGTACAGAGACTCGAAGGATACCAGAAACTTCCCTCCGCATCGGTCTGTGCGCCGCAGCCTCAGAATGATCCTATTCCAGCATCCTTCTCAGTCACTTACCCTGAGGGTCCAAGCACCTAATAAGTGTATGTACTACAAGTACTGGTGCCAAATTATAGGTATTCAGTTATTAGGTACATGGACCCTTAGGAGTATGTATGCCATGGGCATTTCCACAAGCGGCATCCCCGCTGTTCACACCAAAATGTCGTCCCTAGGGGGTCCCGGAGAGATCCTAGTATGAAAGGAGCATGCGGCTCATCTCGTATCAGGTCCTCTTGAACGATGAAGGAGTTAGCCCATTCATTCTGATATTCATTCAGTCCTAACCCTATTTCCCTGCACCCTAAACTTAAGTCACCAATCCACAAACGGTTCCCGAAGTCTTCTGCATCTGCAAGTGATGAACCCTGACCCCAAACCCCCTAGCCCGACGCCACAACTTGCGGTTTAGGCCTAAACCTTCAAGATGCTTAAGCCCGAAGAAGACAAATTGCGCCGCGGCGCCGCAGAGGTTATTCTTTGCCTGTTGTCTTCTTTGCGGAAGCTGGACAGCTTGGCCAAGGCAGGTAACCTTGCTGGAGCTAAGGTGTAGCTGTAGTGATGCCGAAATTTGATGCATACGGACTAGGCGAGCAGAAGTGGGCAAAGGATTGCCAGCACTCAGCCATGGTCTTTGCCATGAGTGTGAGATTGCTTCAGCCTATGCACGAGTGTGCAGCCGGAGACTTTGAGTGCTTTCCTCAGGTTTCCAGCAAGTTTAGAGGTACAGTTACCAGACCCTGCATTCACGTCTAGCTTTTCGAACAAGCTGAATCAACCTTGCTGCCCTCCTAGATACGCCTTGCGTCCTTCCCTCAGATTTCTGTGTTGGCTCTGGCTGTTTACGCCTATCTTCTGGTGATCCTGCCAATTCGATGGGGCACCGTGGAGCTGCGGCTTGGCTGTTTAAGGGCGTTTTTTACCTTTCAAGGTGTATATTTAGGGATATCAAAGGTTTAGGGTATGCCTTGCGTCCTAGAGTAACCAACGGACCCAATACAAAAGGTTCTGTACCTAATAGTTTGGTATCTTCTTTGTTTTTTAAGCTTTAAATTGCTCTTGGTAGGGTTTGCGGTTCAGGGTTTATGGGGTACAGGCAGGCCTTGAGGGTTTGGACTTGAGGTTTTGGGTTTTGGGTTCAGGGTGCTGGCTTCAGGGTTTAGGTAATTGGGTTGAGCGCTTGTGCTCCCGGGCCTCGGTGGCAGCTCTTTCTGGCTGTGTGCGAGCCCAGATGCGAAAGAGTAATTGGGTTTCCATGTCATGCTGAAAATGTGGGCCAGATTTGCGGAGAGGTTGGGTTCTTTCCAGTCGGCGTCCTTTTGAGGGTGTAGTTTTCCCGGTATTGAGAAATCACGGTGTTGAGGTGTAGCAGGGGAATCCTGTTTGGAGAAGTATCAGTGTGATGCATCCAATTGCCTTCTGGCTTGCCATCAACAGGTGCGTAATGCTTCTTGATTCTTCTTGCAGTCAGCAAAATGAAAATTTCATAGAGCGTCAAGATTTGACTTAGGGAGTTCCGCAAACGGTGACTGCTTTTGAGACTCCTTGTAAAGAAGAAAAAGGTTGTCTTTCGGGGAGTTCCATATGTGCGCCTCCTTGCCTGGGAAATTCTGTCTTTATTTTTAGCATACTTAGTACTGTTACAATTATTTCAGGCCGTTTAATTGGATGGTACTGTATTGTCGTTGTGTTTCTCGGTATTACTTGTATTTGTGTCATCTTGATTGTAATCATCACCTTTATTATTGTTCTTCTTATTATTATTCATAACTGCTATTACGAAGCCAGCAGTGCCCGCAGCGGTCCCAACACAGCCTTGGCTAGGTTTGAGATGCACTTATGAGGACCTGAAATGATATGCTGCTTTCCTAAGCCCTGGAATTCCAAACGGGGCCCCGGAATGATTACTGTCTTTTGAAAAGGGCGTCTATACAGCTCCCTGCTGGTTCTGTCAAGGATCCCCAAACCCGAGCCTACCCTGAATGTAGTACAGCAACCTCAGTACCAAAGAGCGGAATTTCCTCAGGGTGCCTCATGCCAAACCCTACGAAGTACAAATAGCCCCATGTAGGTGATATTTGCAGATGTTGGGGCCCAATCTAGGTATTATTTGTATACCTGGAGAAGACATACAATATAGCCCCTATAATCCCCTATATAATCCCAGTTTCCATTTCATTTTCCATTTTCTTGTCCATTTGATTCTCCAATATTAAGGGGGATACATCCTAGTCCTAGTTGCTTTTGTCAGGAGTAGCGGCAGAGCGCCGAGCTTGTCAGGCAGCGCAGCCCGGAGTAGTTGGCATGGGTTACACATAGCATTGGTCGCTGCGTGGGTAATATGAGAATGTCTGAGGCCAACCATGTCTCATGGGGTGGTACCCCGCTTTCAATTGCCACCCCTGATCTTGAGTAGCTTGTTCCCGGTGGCTTCCACGCAGGCGTGTGGTCCAAGTTTGAGCCCGGCAACCTCGGACAGTGGCGCCTTGTCTGAAACGCGCGGAGTTCCACCGTTTCGGAATTGAAATACGAATTAGTATATTGCGGGCACATTTTGGTCCCTGTGTCCCCCAGCCTCACCGGGCGTTGAAGAAGTGAAAGTGACTGCCTTGCAGTCCCCTGTTGTCAGAAAATACGGTAAAGCCAGTAGGAGGGCGTTGAGCAGATACTCAAAAGAGAGGGGGGCCCCAGCAATGTTGACATGCAGTATATCCCTACGTAGACATTCGTCCCTTTGCAGCTTAGGATATCCCTTCATAGGAAAGGCGAATTCACAATGCCTTGAGTGCATGATGCGGCATTGCGGGAGGGGAACCATGTCTATGTGTATATTCATATATGTATGTACATACACATATACATATACACATATGCATATGTATTTATGTATGTGTCTCTGTGGAATGTGTGTCAGTCTGTCATTCTGTCAATTTCAGTCTTTTAGTCCGTACATATATGTAGGTAGGTAGGTAGCTAGCTAGGTAGCTAGGTAGGTAGGTAGGTATGTGTGTATGTGTGTGTGTATGTATGTATGTATGTATGTATGTATGGATGGATGGATGGATGGATGGATGGATGGATGGATCTACGCGTGTTTCGTGTTAGGAGGCAGAGATGGCTGGATGACTGGGCTGCTAAGGATGCTAAGGAACCTAGATGTAAGTTGTCATAATGGAAAATCAATCAAATTGGGACAATGAAATGCAAACTGGCAGTGAAAAGGGTAGGTGTTACACAGGGTGTCAGCTGGTTGATGATTACCAAGTTTGGGTTCACACTAGGTTTACATAGCGGCTACTCTGTCGAGACCAAACGCGTGGGCACACAACGTGAGACTTCGTAGTTACCCTCACCTGAACCCCTGAAATTTCTTAACTCAGCTAAACCCTAAACAATTTTAACTGCTAATCCCTTACCCCTTAACTTCTCAACTGAGCTGTCCAGATGCAGGTTGGGAACGTCCATTTTCGCGCAGGAGGACGGTGTGCAAGTGGCTGTCTTTTACTTCCTTAGCTGTGAGGTCAAAGCCACAGGCCCCTTAGTATGGGTGCATAATCCTGTCGTCGTGGTATGACTCGTAAAAGCTCACAATGATTAGCCTTGCTTTTGTACTTTGTAGGCAAAGAGTGTTTGGAGGTTCAGGTTCAAGCAAGTATGACATGAGCAACGGGTAATAGATTTATCGTTCTTCTTCACCTACAATGGAAGATGAGCATTTGCCTGCCACTCGCCACTCCCTCGCAGGGGGACTGGGTCCGATATCCGGCGGCAAAGTTAGTTTGGACCTACAGAGGACAGTTGGGTCTCCGCAGAAAGGGGCAACTGAAGGAATAAGTTCTACTTGGACTGTCATTTCACTTGGTAAGCCTACGTACTAGCCCCTATTACCCCCTGTACGCCCCATAACCCCTGTTTAACCCCGGTGACTACGCAGACGTACTAAGTCAACAGCTTCTACGAGTGATTCGCTGCAGATGTACAGCCCTTCGTCTGAAAGAGCGAATTCTTTGTAATGATATGAGCTAAAACCCTAATCCATTTATACCTACCTGGACCCCGTGATCCCAGCTATCATCCAGGCCGTGGTCGTCAGCCAGTGCGTCTACCAGGAGCGGACGGCCCAGCAACCTAAGTGGTAGTTTCCCAAAATAGGGGGACCCAATATAGATCCCCAAATACTATAATCCTTATTATAGGGCCCCCAGAAAGGGTATCCCTAATGTTGGGAAACCTCTACCTGTGTAGGGCTTAGGGTTTCGGGATTTTAGGGTTTGGTGATTGGATGGATGCAAGATGATTGCGGGATAAAGGGTCTATGGATTGAGATTTAGGGTTTACGGATTATATAGGAGGTTGCGTAGGAAATAACGGATTTCCCCAACAAATAATGGAGAATAAAATTGAAACCAATGTGGCAAATGGAATGTGGAGTGGTATAATGGGCTTAGATTTGACAAATGGGGGGCCCTTTTGCCGGAGTCCCGAGCAGGAGGATGATATTACTTTGGGGTCCATATTAGCTACTGTCAATATTATAGTTCTCCGTAAGTAGATAGAATATGGGGTATATGGGGATCTCATTATAATATACCCAAAGCCATATTCTATCTACCGAAGGGGGACTATAGCCCTATTAAGGGACCCTGACAGTGGACATATCGGTTCCTGTTGTTTAGTTGTCCCTAATGCAGTCCCTTGTAAGGAGCCCAGGTCTATGAAACGACGTGGGAAATATTGACTGTAGCTCAGATGGGTCCCCCAATTTCTGGGAACCCTCATATCTTTCCCAGACAGTCGGATCTTTGATCTGGCTGCCCCCTTAAAGAAATGACATTGCCGGCAACTCCTCATGTTTCTTTGCAGCTTGCTACACCCTTCCCTTCCCTTTAAAAGTTTGGTTGCAAGATGTTGTAAGCAGAAGGCTGCTATTGAGTAGTTCTGCTTCCACGGAATGTAGCGCTACTGATCGCGTCCCATTCACGTCCAAGGATTCCATAATTCATGAGCCGGAGCCTGTAGAGCTTGACCTATACCTTAGCTGACGCCTTCCTTGTATCCTAGAGGTCCTCAAAGAGTACGGCCAGAAGCGTGCCAGCATAAGTGGCGAAAGCCCATGCGTCTGAGATAAGCCATTATACATTCCATGTTATTCCCGATGTTCTTTTCCATCTGATTCTCTTTTATACCCCCATAGAACGACCCTAAACCCTAAACCCCTAAACCCTTGAACCTCCGATAAAGCCTTGGTTTTGGGGAGGATATGCACCTAAGAGACTATCGGGCCTTCCGACCTGTGTTGGTGTCGAGCTTCATGATCTGCTCGATAGCAAGCACCGCGCTGGCGGCCTTTGGCTGCATGTGCTACGGTGCCCCGGCTTTGTAGGGGTTATCTGTACTGTCCTTAGGAATCATAACGTTTCTTATATAGTATAACCCTAAGGAAATCGAAAGTAATCTTTTTAAATATGGGTCTAAGGAGACTACAGCTATAAGGTTGTAGAGGGGTAATATTGGGATAATAGAATGGAAACTGCTATATTAAAACAGGGTATATATTGCGTGTATATTTGTATGGGGGGCATTCCAGAAACACAGGGTCGCCATAAAAGAGTTATAGTATTCGGGCAGCTCTACTTCGGGATATTTGGGGTTTGTACTGGACCTTCCCCCATGTCTGGAAACTACCACGGAGCCTTCAGAGTCCGTAAGGTTACAAGGTGCGGACTTGTTACGTTAGATTTGTTATGAGCAGCGGCGGTAGCTGTCGCGCTAGCCACTTGCTAGCTAAGGCATGTTCCATCGCACTGCAGCATCAGAAATGCAGACCTGAGAGTTCTGCAGGTGATTCCGTGAAGCAGGTCTTCTATCTCAACTTCCCAACAACCAGCCTTGATGCGACACGGCTTGCAGTGGTCCTTAGTCAGTGGCTCCTGGTCCTCCAGAAGGGCCAGACGACGCTAGAAATTGCTCACCAGGCCCTTGCGAACTGAACTTGTTGCTAAGCATCCCTAAAGGAGGCTGCTGAGGGGTTCATGCATTTTTTCAGCTTTGGACGTGCGCCTTCAAGCAGTTCAGGACTTTGTGGGTCAAGGGAGCTGACTAAGCAAGACTGGATCCAGCTCTCCAGCCATTCAAGCACACAGCGAACATCTCCAGCGCGTCAGACATTACAGCAGGCGAACATTATGGTCTGTGGAGATTCCGTATCATGTGCATGCACTGGTAGAGCCTAGAGGTAACTCTTAGCCCTAAGCGCTCCAAGGTAAGCCTGGCTGAAGCGATTCTTTGCCTTGTTCTGCTACCGACATTTGTCATCCAGTTGTGCCCTGGCAGCAGGTTACAGGGAAGACTTCCACCAAATCCACCAAAAGGTTGGAGGAAGTTTTGCACTCTTCTGTGGGTGTAACTTATGGAGTCTGCAAGATTTCCTCCATCCACCTTCTTTAACTCAGTCACGAAGTTCAGCAAGGGCTCACTTTTCGCAGAGCGCGACACATGCCTGACATTATACAAGGTACCCGGTCGCGAGGTGTGTAGATGAGTGGCTGGGCTGCACTTCAAGCATCCAGTGTCCAGAGTAAGCCTTAACCCCTACACTCTGAACTCTCTTCCGTATACCTTGCGCCCAAAACCCTTAGCCCCGGTCGATAAATATCGATGCCGGAAGCCCCAATCCTCAGAAAATCATGGCACTAGATGGAAATTTTCATCACAGGGAGGCTGGGCATTACTAGCAGGGGGGGGGGGGCTTTTGAGACCTCAACAGCCTACTGAACCCCAAACCCCAAACAGCCCCCACCCACTAGCAGCGGTAACCGTGGTATATGAGGAATGTGTAGGGACCTTAACATAATTTCCCAACATCACTGTTGATTGGTGGGCAACCTAACCCTAGCCTAGACCCCAGATCCTTCATTGTCATCCTAAGCCCTAGATCCGGATCCCTAAGCCCTCAATCCTAATCCCTAAGCTGAGGCTTCTGACCTGCACGGGTTACGTTAGCCTCTCCTCGGACGACTCCGACGAGACTTTGGAAGAGTCGGAGGAGAACAGAGGCATGGGGCTTTAGGGTTCAGGAGGGGTTAAGGGGTTTCGGCTTAAGGGTTTAGGGCGCGCGGCGCAGGTTGCTGGAACAACCTGTGCGTAAAGGTATGGAAAAGACAAAGGAAGCTACTGCATTATTTGGGGTGCTTCGCTAGTAGGGAATGAAGCCGTGGAACATAGCATGGAAATTGCCATACATGTTATACGGGTTTAGGGGTGTATGGATGGAGTGAAGGGATGGAAAGAACGTGGAAACTATGCACAGTCTATGCGCCATTTGCAGCTAAGGGTTTCCAGAGGTTAGAGGTGAATGAAAGAATGTGTTGGGGGGATCAGACGAGGGCTGCGAAAGGGATGCGTTCCTCCATTCCCTACTAACCAGCAGGCATGTTTGCAGAAACTTCAAGCCTTTCACACTTTCGCACGACGCAATCTGGAAGGTGCCTACTTGAACTACTTTTGTATGATCATTTCAGTGCACTTTAGAGGCTGAGGTACACTTGCCATTGCTGCGTAAGCCTTGAGTTCAGCACGTTTACTATTTGGGCTTTTCTCAAAACAGAGGGCCCTCAGGGGGGCTGAGGCGCGTCAAAAGGTACAGGAGGCACCCTAAACCCTAAACCCTAAAACACCCATGTCAACACTTCCAGGCCAGGGCTCCGTGGTGAAAATTCTTGCGCGATGGCTGCTTGTTGTCATCTCTTGCGTCTTGGCCGCGGCCAGGGCCTTAGCATCATGAGCCTTGTGTATCTGTGTGTGTGCATCCACATACTAGGGAACCACCCGATCTGCAGGTGTAAAAACCGAACTCTCGAGACGTAGCACTGCTGAGGGGCTCAAGCTGCCACAGCTTCTTAAGATAGATGCCCATCCGTGGTTCCACGTGCTACAGAACAAGTGAAAGAGCCTTGTCGAGGCAAAAGGCTTTCTCATACGAAGTGAGCAATCAGCTGAGAAAGTGGTCTTGGACTTGCTGATGGTCATTATGATTGTTCTGTTCATTGCCCGCTTGATGTATTCTAGGTGCCGGTGCCGTTGTTTCACTTTAACTGTCTTATGCAAGCATAGATCTCTTCCTGTTGCTGGCTTTTGTGTGTGATCCTCAGGGAGGATTAAGGGTTTAGGGTCCAGGGTGTAGTACACTGTACAAGGATGCTACTAATAAGATTGCTGCTAGTTGTTTATGCTGCTTCCAAAATCAGGATGTCCCTTGTGTACCCCAAATCTTTATAGTCCTTCTATTTTTGCTCCCAGACCTTAAAACCTTATAGACCCTATAAACCCTAGACTTGCCCTAAACCCTAAACCCCAAGGCCTAAATTTTGAAAGCTCCCAAGAGAGTTCAAAGGTGATGCCGGACCTGGCGTGCGTCTCCGGCTACAGCGGTAGCTTTGCCATGAGTGCCGCGGTAAGACCTCAAGTGCCAAGTGTAGGGGTCTTTAGGGCTCGGGTTTAGGGATATTTCCCCGTTGAGATTCAAACATGGAAAAGAACTGGAACATGACATTGAAACTGTGATTGTGCCAGTTTTATGGTCTTAGTTAGATCCATTGTATTGTCTCAAACAGACCTCATACTTATGTTAGTAAGTGTTGCTTCAACAACAGCATGGGCATGATATTGTTGATGGAAGAAGGGTTGTACGACCGAAGCTCCCCGAAGCTCTGCGCCTCCGAATATAGTCCCCCTTAAGTAGATAGAATATGGCTTTGGGTGATACACTATAATAATATCCCCATGTACCCCACATTCTGTCTACTAAAGGGGGACTATAGTTTAACCAAAGTACTGCAACAAGTCCTGCATCAGCAGTTTCCTCACCGGCTCATAGGATATGATTATACTGCGACTAGACTACTGCATGTTTTATAGCCATACACTTTTCTCCTATTCATCCAACATTCTATTATGGTCTGCCTTTGTACAAGTTACTACTAGCATGGTGGCTGTTGGAGCTCAGTGCAGACTGGAGGCGTGATTGGATTTTTCCTGCCTCCGTTGATCCACCTGAAGCTCCACCACTTTCGCGTCTCAGCGTCTCTCAAACTGCAGTGCTCTAAACCCTAAACCGTAATAGTAGGGACCACTTAGGGCGCTTTTCTTCCAAGAGGCTATACGTAGGGGTATTTAGGCTGCGTGAAAGGGGTTTATGGGGACATGGATGTTTCATGATGTTTCCAAAAGATAGGGGTTCCTTTTAGGGTCTCCCTGCAATAAGGAGTAGAATGTCTGGGGGTCTATACAGGGACCCTGTTTTTGGAAGCTCCCAAAAAGCGGGGCTAGAGTTTAGACTCTAGACCCTTTAGAGTCTGAGGTTTCTCCACGTGGCACGCCATGCGGGGCATGAGGGATGGATGGGCTCATCTTGATCCTCAAAGGATTGCATGGGTTAAGGATTAAGGGTTAAGGGGCGGAACTCTCATGTACATTGACATCCCAATGTGCTAGTGCCATTGCGGGAAGTCAGCCGCTTGCGATGAGCAGTTTTCAATTGTGTTGTGGCCCAGGAGGGGCCCTACACGGACTAATGTCCTCCTGAAAGTGGGTTGTTTAGGATCTTAAACCCCAAACCTCAATTTTAGGGAACTCATGTGAGCTATATAGGCTATAGTCTAAACTCCTTAAAGGGGGTTATAAAGGGGATTGTATAGGGGAGTATTATAGGAGTTATTAAGGGGCATAGTAGGAGTTTTTACTCATTATAGGAGTTATTAAGGGGGATACTAGGAGTGTTGACTATTTCTCCTGTGTTGCTAAGGTTGGACTGGTTCCTTGACCTGGGATTGCTTGCTGTGGGTGTGACCGCCTTGGTTTTAGGTGTGAGCAATACGCACTGCAGTGCAAGTTGATGAAGAATCATTTGCGATGCCTGTTCATAGTTCATGTACATAGATTAGGTGGACCCCCCACCCAGTCATGGTGACTTTAAGGGCTACTGGTGATGATATTAGGGCTCTCTTATATTCTTATACCGCTGTTACAGGGTGTGGAGTCCACCTAATACATAGAATACATAGAAGATGAGATTGGGTCGAGGAGGCCACGGGCATTGTAGAACCCGGCACGTTCCCCGATGCACTACGCATTGGAGTCCTTCCTCGGCCATGGCGCAATCGCGGGAAATTCTCAAAAAAGTCATTCCTTCAAACTTTTTATAAGAGCTAGTGTCTGAACTCAGTAAAGTGGCTTATATACAAGATTATATAGGGGGCTTTACAGGGCTGATTAAGGGGGCTACTAGGAGTTTAGACTATAGCTACTAGAGCTCATTAGATGATAGGTATATAATGTACCGCCAGCCCTACTCGAATCATTATGCTCAGTGTTGTTGTACGTAGAGTCGCGCAGAAAGTGGTGCGTAACATAATGTTGCACCTCTTTAGTCTTGCCCACCCCCAAAAGAAGAAAAGTAGTGCCCCCAGAAAAATGGAAAATTGTGTCCCTCAATAAGAGCCTCTCTGCCTACCACAGTTTCGAGGTCTTTGTTGATTGAAGGGTTTAGCGTTTAGGGTGTGATGGTCTGGGTTCTCCGTAGACCCCAACATCAAAACACATTATAACGGGCCTGCAATCAATACCTCTGATCCTCAATTAGGAGGGCCCAAAGCACATTATAGAGGGCCTCTAGAATAAAGGAGGCGCAACATTACTGTTGATAGTTGATATTCAACATCCTGCAGGACCTAGAATACTATAGTATCATAATTCCCAAAGTTTAGGGTAGGCAAGGTCATGAGGTCATGCAGGATCTTTAGTGTACACCGTAAACCTTGAACCCTAACCCTATATACCCCCCACAACAAGTCCATATATAATCCTTATGTAACCCACCGTGCCAATCTTGAGCGTAACCCTAAACCCCTAAATCCTAAACTCTAAATCCCTAAGCCCCACATCCCTAACCCTAAATCCCTAAACCCGAAATCCCTAAACCCGAAATCC